CTGGGGTCCACAGGAATGTCCTCCTGGGGCTCAGCAGGGGGAGTAACGGCTGGGCTGCGGCGGAGATGTCAGGTGAGAATTCAGCCAGCTGATTGACCAGACCCAAAAAAGAACGGAGGTCTGTCAGGTTGGCAGGGTTTGGAAAATCCCTGATTCCACTTAATTTCTCCGGGTCAGCTGCGATACCTGATGCTGAGAGAGTGTACCCACAGAAGTTCACTGATGGTGCGGCGATTACAAACTTGTCAGCGTTGAGGGTAATCCCGTACTTTCGACATCTGGTGAGAACTTCATATATTCGGGAGAGGTGGGCACAGTAGTCTTCGTCATGGAGTAAAATATCATCAACCACCTTGACACAATTCGTGACTCCTTGAAGGGCCGCGTCACCACGTTGACAGAATGCATCGCCCGTAGCGGCAAATTCCATGGGGCCTCTGCAATACTGATATTTTCCATATGGTGTGATGAATGTACTCAAATGCTGGTCTTCTTCGGCCAACTCGATCTGCCAATAACCACATAAGGCGTCCATTGTTGTAAAAAACTTCGCCTTCGGGTCCACATTTCGAACAGCTGCGAAGGGTGTGGGAGAAGGGTGGGCTGGACGGGAAACTTGCTGGTTAAGTTTTGACAGATCGGTGGTGATCCGTACTCCACCATGAGGTTTGGCGACGGGGACGAGAGGGTGGCACCAAGGTGAAGGTTCGTCTCCGGCCGGCTTGATGATTCCCTGAGCAACCATGGAGTCAAGCTCTTGTCTAACTAGCTCCTTGTAGGCGTGAGGAATCAAACGAGGGGTGTGGATGGCAAAAGGTGTGGCACCATCCTTAAGATAAATCTTCATAGGTGGACCCACCATCGGCTTGAGTGGTGTGGATCCTAAAGATTTCTTCGTAACCAACACGTCAGCAAACTCCTTGAGAAGGTAAGCTCTTGCATCAGAAGGGGATGTATTAGTAGAGATAGGGAGTTCCTTCAACCTGTTGACATGGGTGACCTTTAAAATAAGTTTGGGGAATTCCTTGGAAATAATGGCCAACTCTTGACAATGGCCATATGATAAAAGCGAAGTCGGGATCCCATCATGAACATCAATCCGGGCTGAGCAAGACTGCTTACCAAAGGTAAGAGTAGCCCAGAAAGATCCCAAAGCTGGAGCCATCTTGGAACCATCAGCTGTCAGTTTCGTTGTCTGAGGAGGGGGCTGTAGGTTGCTCCGGGGTATTCCCAAACTTGCTAAGTGTTGTGGACCAATTACTGAGACGTCAGCACCGGTGTCAGGTAACATCTGAAGCCTGGATGACAAGTTACCGTAAGAAATGACGACACTGATGTGCTGGGGCGTCGTGTCTGTGGAACTATGTACACGGCGGCAGGAATGACTGGACACAGTGCCTTGATGCTTGTCAGGAGGGGGCGTGCCAGCACTACCTGAGGATGACTTCTTGGATCCTTGGTGGTGTCCTTTCTGTGTCTTCTTACGACAACATTTGTCATAATGGCCCACACGACCACAAAGTCTGCACTGAACTTTGCTAGCAGGGCACTTGACTGTGTAAGCCCAGTGACCCTGGCGGTCGCAACTTCTGCACACGCTTTGAGCAGCTGGGCACTGGGAGGCATCATGCTGTCTCGCGCAGCTGTTACACAAAGCTGCTGCTGAAGGTGTAGCTGGAGGGTGAGGGGTGGGGTTACCTTGCTGCTTCTTACCCTTTCTGTAGGAAGACACCGCCCTCACCTGGTCAGGTTGTGAACGTAAAGCTGAAGTCGCACACCTGGCGGCCTCGTACGCTCGACATTTTGTAACTATATCTTGAAGGGAGGAAGTGGGGTCAAGTGAAATGAGACGCTGAACTAGCTCTTCATCTCGAATACCCGTTAAAATAATTGTATTGAGTTGTGTCTCTTCACAGACTTCAGACTTTCCAGGACAAACATCAACTTCCTCTGAACATCTTTTCAGTCTTGCAAAAAATGCGTCAAAAGATTCTCCATCAAGCTGCTTACATTGGAGGAGTTCTCTTCGTCTAAGTTCTTCGTTGCGCTGTCCCTTAACCTGTTCCTGTAACTTGTCAAGCACGGCCTCTACAGTCAGAGTTGTCGTAGGAGGCACTTGAAGTGTGTGCTCGAGAGTACGTTGTGTCTCTAAGGACAAGCACATACGAAGCTGTATCATCTGTTTAGGCTGTGGTAAACTTGACAGGTCAACCATTGTTGCATAGTCTTGCCAACGTCGACGCCATTCCCGAAATATCTGATAAGAAGCGTCAGACTTCAGAGAGGGAGGCATTTGTGCTGCAGCCTTTTGAGGAATTGTTGAACCGACTCTGGAAAATGAGGTACCAGTACCTCTAGTCGTATCAGCATTAGTAGTGGCAGAAGAATCTTGTACAGTAGATCGTTGTGGGGAGGCTAACAGGGAAATCAAGACTTCAAATCTGGCTTGATTCTCTCTTCTCAGGTCATCCTCACTTCTACGTATATCTTCTAGTTCTCTGCATCTTTGTTCATCTTCGTGGCATCGTCTTTCAGACTCTCTGTACCGAATTTCTTCCTCTTCTCTCCTTGCAACATAGTCCTGGCGTCGAGAAGTTTCCATCCACTTAATCAGTTGAAGGAGATCCTTGGACGCAGGCACCGCAGGAGAGCTTGCTCGTGACGAACGAGGAGATTCTGTGGGTGATTGGGCGTTGTCACTGTGGGGAGCGTGGGGGCTGAGTGTGGGTCGTCCAGGGTATCTTTTTGATCCCTGTGAGACATGCTGACAGCTTCTGTACTCTATCTGTGCAAGAGACCGGGTCAACCCCTCGTAATCTATGCACAGAATTACAGAAGTCTAAAGTAATACGCAAGAATTTAATATAAAGTGGGCCTGTGAGTGCGTGTGTGTGTGTATGGCTCGTTGCCGGGAGGCTTGGCGTGCTGCCAGACGTAGAGGCAGCTCGGCGCAAGTGCAACTGAACCGAAGTTGTCTTAATGCGCGCTGCTCAGTTACCCAATGACCGTAGGCGGGAGGGGACATACTGCTGGGCCGCTCCCTCAGTCATCTGACTGCAGTTTGCACAGACAATTCTGATTAAAATACACAACACAGCACTTCACAGAACACTTCACTTCACAGCACAGCACTGTACACAGCACAGCACTTCACAACACTGTAAGTCCTGAGGCTTGTAGTCTGGCTGTAAATCCTTGGCGAAGCTGAAGACGAGACGCCATTAACACAGTCCGGCGGGAAGGCTGAATTCACTATGAATCTCACTGAGAAATCACACTGCGCCATCTATGTTTGTCTTTCATACCCCCAAAATGTTCTACACTACTGAGGGTATACGCAAACACTTGTTATCTTGAAAATAGGTTCTTATTCTCGTACGGGAGATATACAGAGGAACTAATAGACAGTCGGCTTCCACACCATAAGGACAGGCGATCTCAACTCTCTGCATCACTCCGCGCTGGCATGTACAGATGCCAGCTTTCACAAGCTGAATACATAATATGTAAATATGATAATTCATATACATAACATGGTGTATAATAAATGGAAATATTACATAGGATTAATACATGTTCTGTAATACTTTACTATACATAATTAATAGAGTAATATAAGAATACACAGCTTAAGGTACTACTTCGTGTCCATATTATACATATTCGACGTATTATTAATAAATTGTATTGCTCATTTTGCACACACAAACATTAATTCAATCAAAAAGACTTTCAGTAATAAACAATAATGAATCTTTTGTACATAAGAGAAATGACGCTGTTTACATGATTGTGCACGTCGTCTGAACATTGGTGGGCCGTTCAAACCCGTCGAAATTCGAATTTCCGCTGTCAAAATTTTTAAATGTGTTGTTTTTTTTGTGTGTTGAAACAGAAAACGTCGAATTAAAAAGTCGCGAAATTTGAAAAGCTACTGTATGACATTTAACCCTTCAATATGTCTTCAAAGAGACCATGAAGCAGAGAAAGTGGTGCTAGTGCTTCCAAGCGTAAGCACAAGTCCCTATCTATCCAGGAAAAGGGTGAATTTCCATGGTCCGGCACCGGTCAGGTCCCGAGGTTGCCGGACTAGAGAGGTACAACCTGTATACAGTAATGAGAAAAGAAAGCAGCTATGCAAGGTTCTTTCGACAGCTTTATTATTCGAAGGCCTAAACCATCAACTTCAGCTACACCATCAAATTCAGCATCATAAGCAGCTTCAACATCAACTTCAGGTTCAGTAACAGTTTCAGCAACAGCTTCAGCCAGAGTTGAACCTGATGACTTCGTCATCTGAGTAAAAACTCGCACAATATTCATTGGCTGTCCTTATGTTTTAGACTATACAATGAACTTGAAATTATTGCACTACTAACACTGATGACTGTGTAGCCACCAGTCCAAGTGGTAAAGGAGAATGCACAAGACATGCTTACCTGGTGTTGACATTTTCAAGGTTTCCCCTTTTCAGATGAATGTGAAGTTTATAATTTATTATTCAATAAATTTTTAGATTTCCAGTCATGAGCTTAGGTTTCTGGGATGGTTGACAATTTGCTGGCTATACAGAATCAGCCAAAATCAGCTCTAAAGCAATAAATGATAATTCAAATATTAACCAATAAAATTACAAGAAAAGCAATGGCAAACACTTGGCTGCACGATGAAGGAAAACATAACTAGCATGGGCTACGTATTATACTAGCTTGCTTTAAATATATCCTCACAAACTCTGAAGATGACTCTTAAGAGATTGTTACTGAGATCAATCATCTCCCACAAAATTCAATAAGAATTTTCAAAAAATTTTCTAACGAAAACAGGAATTTCACAAACAAAAATGTTACATGTACATTAATCATAACCAGTACACTATATTATACTGTGCAACCAATCAAAGTGATGTACACTAATTCTAATATGCTAATATTTGAACAAAGTAACTTTCTCTTAGTGTCACCTATGGAATTATTGAAAACTGGCTTAAAATCACTTACCATGTGGTTTAGGTACAGGTTGAACTGGAAGGCCACTGCCCATACCCACCACACTCCATGTACCAGTAATGTGGTCAAACACCCGCTTGCTCTTTGCCCGAATAATTACACCAATAAGCATATGGGCCCGGTGTTCCTCAAACCCAGGGCCATCCAATGGAAGAAGAACCTGTAAAAGAAATATAATCAAACACTGGCCATGGGGTGATAAATATTATCTCTAAATGTGCTGAAGAAGGAAGCACTAGTCCTAAAATACTATTTTATTGTTGAAATCCCACAAGTGAATGCAGCAGCATAGATTTTCTCTCTAGTACACTACAGTAGAAGGAGGAGGGTTAAAAAGTGCATGATGTTGTATCAGCCAGTGCATACCTCATCCTTCATTTTCAACTTGTCCACAATTGTCCCGATACATCAACCTCCATTCATCCCTGACATACTTGTACACTATCCCATGCCAAGAGAAAGGAATGTGAGTTGCCTAGAATAAGGCTGACAGGAGGACCTGTTCAAAGCTACGAGGGTGACTGGGTATTAAGAAAACAATATTGTGAAGTCCAGCATAGAGACAGGCTAAGATGGTTTGGGCTTGTGGAGAGAATGGATAAGACCAATTGGGTTAAGAGATGCTAAAGTATGTATGTGGAGGGAAGAGTCAAGGGTAAGCCAAGAATGACATGGGGAGAGGTTGTAAAAAATGATATTAAAGTTAGGAACCTAACAAAAGAGACTGCAAGTGACCGTACAGCATAGAGAGCTGCCATCAGGTAACTGTGGCTAACCCACGCAAGCATATAAAATGGCTGTAAAACGATGATGATAACTGACAAATAATATACAATAGTGTAGCCCCTATAAATACTATACAGTGGTCCCTCGGTTAACGAGCACAATTCGTCCACAGAGTCGTTCGTTAACCGAAAATTTCGTTACCGTAACCGAATCCATTATTTCAATGGGATATTGGGTAATTGGTTCCAGCTCACAGAAAAGTACATACACAGTAAGGCCAAATAAATAAATAAATAAATATATATATACAGTATTACCCCGCCTAACGCGGTTCCACTTAGCGCGTTTTATCATATACGCGGTGCCTTGCCAGAGCTGAACTTTCACTTAACACGGAATTTTTCATCATATACGCGGTGAGTGTCCGGCGCGACGCTATTTTTAGATTTTCCCCACGCGCCACCCGCCCGCCCGCCTGCCTGCCTCTCCCTCCTCCTCCCTCCGCTTGGGTAAGCGGCGCGGTAAGGTTGCGCAGTGTGTGTCTTTGTTGCGTTATCACTGACGTCATATGACGTATCGGACTGTGATTGGCCATGCATCCCTACCCCCTCTGCTGCTAGCTGTAATTGGCTTAAAGTATTATGACGTGACCACCCCGGGGAGGGAGGGAGGGAGGGAGGGAGGAGAGACGATGCTTGACCTAGCTGCGGCAGTTTGATCCCTCAAGGCCACACCGTGTAAACGCGCTTCCATTGTTCCGTAAAATGGCTTCCGCCGGACCACCACCGCCCCCAGAGAGAGACCTTTCCTTACCTGGACCCAGCGGCACTAAGCCAAAGAAGATACGACGTTCATTAAGCTACGAGGTGAAGTACCAAATTGTTCAAGATTTGGAGAAAGGAAGACGGCAAGTTGATCTCGCGCGCCAGCATGGCGTCAACGAATCTACGATTCGCACGATCAAGAAGGATGCAGCCAAGATCAAAGAGCACATGAAAATCACAAAGTCTGCAGGTGCTTCATCTATCAGGTATTGCCAGAACAGGGTGCTGGCAAAAGTGGAAAATTTGCTGGTGAGTTATTTGATTCGTCAGGCGCGACGCAACATGGCGGTGGACACGCGCTCAGTGCAGGAGTACGCACGTGAGCTATACACAGCAGTGTCACGTAAGCTGGGAATTGCAGAGCCCAAACCCTTCAATGCTTCCTCTGGTTGGCTGCATAGTTTTAAGAAGAGGAACAAGATCACCAACATCAACATTGGTGGTGAGGAAGCGAGTGCTGACCGTGTGGCGGCTAGAGATTTTCCTCCGTTCTTACGTGAGATTATGGAGGAAGGACAGTATACCGACGACCAGGTGTTTAACATGGACGAATCTGGTCTTTTCTGGAAAAAGTTACCTTCCAAGACCTTCGTTGTCCAGTCTGCCAGCAAGGTAAGGGGTCAGAAGTTGCAGAAGGAACGCATCACCGTCCTGTTTACCACCAATGCCTCCGGTACCTGTAAACCAAAGTTATCGGTGATTCACACAGCCCGCAAGCCGCACGCCTACAAGAAATTGGACATGAACAAGCTTAATGTCCACTGGCTAACCGCACGTAAGGCGTGGATGTCCTCTTCTCTGTCCCTCTTCTGGTTTGACAACTGTTTTGTTCCCGACGTGAAGAAATTCTGCGAGCAACAGAATGTTTCATTCAATATTTTGTTGCTCCTTGACAACGCACCTGGACACTCGCCCCTACTTATGGATCGTCACCCCAACGTAAAAGTGGTCTTCCTTCCTCCCAACACTACGTCATTAAACCAGCCCATGGACCAGGAGTTGATCTGCAATGTTAAAGCTGCGTACTCTGCAAAGAAGTTCAAGCTGCTGAACGACTCTACCAACACCAAGGATGAGTTGCGTAAGCTGGGTGACACCGACAGCGAGAGCAAAAGCGACGAGGACAAGGAACAAGAAGCGGTGACTCAAGAACTTCTCGTCAAACAATTTTGGAAGAAGTTTACCGTTAAACAAGCTGTAGACTTCTTGGTGGAGGCATGGGATCTGCTGACTATTGCTACGATTCGTCACGCATGGAGACATGTGTTGCATGGCATACCAGGTGAGAGGAGGAGTGAACCTGTGACTGGTCAGGTTCAGACTGTTGCAGTAGCAGTGGACCTTGCCAGAGAAGCTGCGCTCAGTATTACAGCTGAAGGCTTCTCCGAGACCACCAACGAAGACATCATGGAGGTGATCAGAGATCCTAAAGTGACTGCCGACGAGATGTTGGAAGAAGAACCCGCCAGTGAAGAGGAGGAAGAAGGTGCGTCATTCTCCGAAGAACCTAGTTTAAGTCATAGTGATATTAAGTGTGCCATAGAGTTTGCAGAGAAAATTAAGTCCGTCCTTTCCCGCGACAATGACGATGACCGCTATGAAGTCTTCCATACCCGGCTGGTGCAGGCTATGGAGCCGTACATCACGGTGTATCATGACAACATCAACGCCAGCCGTCAGCAAGCATAACCGAGTTCTTCGCCCGCAACCCACCACAGCCAGCCCAAGCCAGTGATAGTGAAATTGAAGTTGACTTTGAGGGATTTGTCAGGGAAGCCCTGACAACTGTAGGTGACAGTGATGGTGATTCACCTAGTAATGGTGATTCACCTGAGGGCCAGTAATCTACCCTCTGCCTCGGAACCAGCCTCCATCCCCGTATGCCGACCCATCTCTTCTACAACCGTAAGTGTTACATCTAACTTTTAGTTTCTCTAACTTGACCTTCATTTTTCCTATGTTAACCTTTATCTTTCCTAACCTAACCTCTTCTATATTACTTGTTTTTTCATACCATCATAAAGTTAAGATAGAATTTTTACTACAACATAGTTATGTGTCGTCAAAAAGTGGAGTTTGGGGGTCGGGCTGGTTTCTATTGGAATTAATCCCATATGTTCTGTTGTTCACTTAACGCGGATTTCACTTAACACGGGACCCTCTGGGTTCAATTGACCGCGTTAAGTGGGGTACAACTGTGTGTGTGTAATATATATATATATATATATATATATATATATATATATATATATATATATATATATATATATATATATATATATATATATATATATATATATATATATATATATATATATATATAATAATATATATATATATATATATATATATATATATATATATATATATATATATATATATATATATATATATATATATATATATATATATATATATATATATATATATTTTATATATATATATATATATATATATATATATATATATATATATATATATATATATATATATATATATATATATATATATATATATATATATATATATATATATATACCGTCAACACACCTCAACCCACCAGGATTGAGACACATTTACAAGCCTATGACTGTGACGGGAGCGGCTAACAGCTGGACAGGATACTAAAAAGCAGTCTAGAACTTTTATATTTCACACAAAGCCTGTTCAAGAAGCATGGCCGTGAAAAGACACTCTAATGGGGACCACCATTATCACTTAGGTGGTCAGGTAGCATTTTACCAAATCGTGAGAACACGAGGATCATATATATTTCATTGGCCAATAAAAGCCGCCTTGGACTTCACCACATACAATCAACACCTCAACCGCCAGGATTGAGACCCACTGACCCCACAAGCCTATGACTGTATTGAGGGGGCAGCTAGTTTCCAGCTGGACCACCAGGATGCTAAAAGCTGTCCTGGAGCTTTGTTATATATTTCACACAAAGCCTGTTCAACGAGCTTATGGCCGTGAACCTCTAATGGTCTAATGTCACGGGTGGTCCCCATTAGAGGTTCAGCCATAAGCTTTTGTGTGAAATATAACAAAGTCTAGGACTGCTTTTAGTATCCTGGTGGACCAGCGGTTAAGCGTTCTCGGTCACAGTCATAGGCTTGTGGGCGTGAGTTTACAGTCCTGTTGAGGTTGAGGTGTTGATTGTATGTAGAATCAGCGTGCTTTATTGGGCAAGTAATAGTAAATAAATAAATATATATATATATATATATATATATATATATATATATATATATATATATATATATATATATATATATATATATATACTCTATATATATATATATATATATATATATATATATATATATATATATATATATATATATATATATATATATATATATATATATATATATATATATATATATATATATATATATATATATATATATATATACAGTGGGATATGCTATAACGAACGGATCCTACTACGAATATTCCTATAACGAACGGTTTTACCTATAAAATTGAGAATGCTATAACGAACGCAACTCCTACAACGAACGCGGATGAATACGGGACTATTTCGCCTGGCGCATGAATATTGTTGTACCGCGACCCACAACAAGAGCGTCAGGCGCCATCTTTGTC